TAGTGAAATAAGAAGGATATGAAGACAGCAGCGCATTGAACAAATATTTGAAATTTTTGATAGCTCCAGTTCTTTAGAAGCCAACAGACAATTCGTTTATCTAATTTTCAAACTTCTGACGTCACTAGTTAATGCTAAATGAGCAGTATTTAACACTATTTTATTTTCCTGCAATTGTCTTATAACTTTTTGCTTTACTTTATAATTTGTATTTATTCATTTATTGTATTTTTCCAATGATCGTAATGCAAAAATTTTAAATTCATTAATAAATATTCCACGGATGACAAGTTTATGAAAAAAATTATTTCTTTAAAATATTTAAATTTACACATTAACACTAGCAATAGTAATCTAATTGGAATTTTCCATTTTCTTTCAAAATAATTCACAATAGATCAGTTTAAAATTTGATACCATTGTAATGCGAGTGGCTTATTCGTCAAGCAGTTATACGAAAGTGGGTTTATTTTAGCGGATTTTGTTTTTGCTTTGCATGCTAATTTTTAAGCGACACATGTTTTATTGGAGCATTCATGTCAAAAGAACACAATCAAATGAAATATTACAGTCAAATGAAAACCAATAACATAAACAGCTGTTAACAAGATTTTGCAATAGCATTTTTTTGAAATAGTTCAACATTACAAAGACGCATTCGCAACGACGCACTTACGTATTGTCAACCGACCTATTGTTTAATATTAGCAGAACGGCTACTTGTAGTCATTTGGTTTATTTTGCATGCAAAGCGTGTACTTTGTGTAGTAGAACACATTAAACTCCAGTAATCTTTTTTTAATAATCCTTTGCTTTTTGTTTAAAAACGATGCATACTGTCTACATTTAACTTTAAGAGAAAAAACGAGCTTGACTTCTAGATACAAAGAGGTTTTAATATATCTGAAGTGTGACTTTCAATATAATCAATAGCACTTCATAACGAAAGTGATTGCTCACGATACCTATCTGGAGTGATATAAAGAGTTAGATGCATCTGATAGGATATTATAGAATCAAATTTACCTCTAACCATGATAACCAGACCATTTGAACTTTGTATCCTAGGTCATCAAGAGTCTGTAACAGCTTGTCATTGACCAATAATTGTAGGAGCAGAGATAGAATGCCTCGTGTGGGACATCCTTTGGTTGACTTGACAGTTAATCTCTTTGCTTCCTTTTCAAAGATTATTATCTTATTGTTTCATATTATGATCACTCTATGTATTTCTTTCCTGATCATTACCGTCTAAAACCTTCTCGATCTTACTCGATAGACTATGTATAGCGGTTTCAGTCGATTTGCCCGACTACTAAGGATATTGCTCAATATGTAGAGGTGAAGCATTAATGTATAGTTTCCTAATATATTGATCTAGAATCTTCTTCATTGCTTTAAGTAGAAAAGAAGTGAAGCTATTGGCATGTGGTCCGCTTTTTGCCTGCTTTCGGTATGTAAGCTACCCTTGCCTTAGTCTATCATTTAGGTATCATGCCTAGTTCAAGACCAGTGACGACGCGTGCCCTATCTGGAAGGGTGTGCGGCCCTTCTTTAATGTTGTTTTTACATGTACCAATTATATTAAAATATATGAGATCTTTTATTAATAATAACTATATTATATAAGGCAATAATATAGTCGCAATATTATATTAACAATTCATTAACAAAAGAACATATTAAACAAATTAAATTAATAATTTATATATAAATTTAATATTATATCAATATGGAAGAAACAAAACTTTTTATATACTTGTAACATCAAACCAACTTTTTTCAAACAAAAGAGTTTTAACTCAGAACCATACATGTTTATCCAGTGATCAAACAAAATCAAACCCACTTGCAACGTACAATTGTGCGCACAAGTACTCCGCACAGTAAGAACAGAAATTCGTGGGTGCTACTATTAAAAGGGGAGAGACGAAATGTGATAGAAATGTATGCTGAGATGAGCTGCAAACTTCAGCCGCTCACGCAACCACTTTGGCAAATCATTATGTTGGATTCGTATGCATGCAGTTGATATTCGAATACAACAAAAATTTACTCTCATACAATTCCCACTATATAAATCTCTATCTCTGATATTACGAATGGGAGCACACGCACATTATTTTGTTCATATGCAACGTATAAATGTGCTGCCAACTTCTTTGCACACAAAGGGGAGAGACGAAATAAAATAGAAATGTTCTGTGATTTGAACTGCAAATATATGAGCACAACTAACAAGTATAGCAGCTAACAGAAGCAAATTGATTGAGTTTTCATAGACAATTATATTTAATTGTTTTTGCTAAAACTTTAAAAAAATATATATAGAAATGTAATAAATAATAATAATTCTTGATGTGAAGATACTTAATAAATTTATATTTCAATGTTATTTGACATTTTGGAAATTATGTTAGGGTGTTCACCGCACACCTCCGCACCTTAGAGCAATCGTCACTGTTCAAGACTTATCCTAAATATTTTTGTTAATAGCGGTGGCAATATATCAACATCTTTTTAACAAAGACACCGTTGTATATTATCGACACCAGGTTATTTAAGCGAACTGAAAGTAAAGTTGGCCCATTTAGTTTTATAGAACGTGAAGATTTTACCTGCCAGTAGGGTTTTGCTTTGTGTTTTTCTTTGATTTCCTCTATTTCTTATTGTAAGTTTTTATAGCACTTTTGTATGAAACCTAATATCCGTTGCATTTGGCTTTATTAAGGAGTTGACGAAGATTTTTTTAGCGCAAAATGTCCAGTTTTCTATACCACCTTTGGACGTTCGTAGAAAGTATTTTTTTAACAAGTTCGTAGCTGTTTTTAAAAGCATCTGTAATATTGTTTTCAAGTTTGTTAACTTTAAGACTTAGTTGTTGAAAATTAGTTATCTTTTCCTTAAGACAACTAATATTTTGCTCTGTATAGAAGTGGTATAGAAACCAGTTGGTCTTCCTAACATTTCTTGTTTCGAAAATGTTTTCAACTTCCAAATCAAAGCGTATGTTCGTATGTATGATCATCTGATAAGGAGTTTTCCTCCAACACCCTCGAATTTGAAATGTTATTAGATAAAAATGCGCTCGCTAGAGTTAGACCTCATATCTCTCCCCCTATCGGATTTCCAAAAGTAGGTTAATTACCTTTATTTACTATCATTGAATTGTTAGTACTGATATAATCAAGAAGCGTCCGTGCTTTCTCATACCGTGTGATGTGTGTTGGCGTCGCAGCACATTACCCACAGCTGGTTTCGGATACGGCAGTATTCTGTAAGCTGCTGAAACTCTTGTTACCCTAGTACTAGGCACTTCTGCCTGTACTGCCACTAGATCACGCTGTATGAGCTCTGAAATGGAAAGAGATTTAATGATGTTTTGTCATACTTTAATTTATACGTTTTTGTCTGCAAACCGTTTATACATCCGTTTGCGGCTCGTAGTTCTTGAATGACCACAAACTCCAGACAGTGCTGTTCCACCAGGGCACTGAGTCTATAGGCGGCTGCTATAGCCCGGTGGAGGTTAATTTGGAGGGAATGAAGCTGCCTCCTAGAACCTTACGGTTGTGGCGGAGTCCGGGAAATTATTTCCGAGATTGGCCCTTCCAGACCCTGCCGCTTTTCCTCCCACACAGCAATTTCGCAACCTCCGGGTCTTTCTTTTCCCACCTCCTGAGACGACTAGAGAGAGCGGAAGGTTTTTGGCTTAGGCACTGATTTTGCTCTTGTACACATTTAATGGTGGTGTAGCGGAATTAAGACCCGTTTTCGACTTCTGGGTCATTCGTTTTCTGATGGTTGCTCATCATCAACCCCAACCTTGGTTCTGTTTGCCTTATGTCTTGGTCTCAGCAAGGCGCTACTAAGTTCATAAAAGACGTTATTGCCCAGATTTTTGAATATTTCAGACGAAATGGAGTCTACCTCGACAAAATTGCGTTTATGAACCCTGAAAAGCGCTCACATGCTCAAATTTCGGCACTCAATTTGTTCCAAAATTCAGCCATTTTGCCAAGAAGCTAACACTGAAAGTAGCCAACATAGATTTCAGACTTTGGCACTTCTGTTTCGTTCACTAACTTCAGTTGAGTTTCTTTTCACGTATTCAAAGCTGGGATTGTCTCCTTAGTCCAGGTCACAGTTTCGCGTAAAGACAGTTAATAGTAAAACATGCGGGCTTTAAACTGTAACCAGCAAAGTGGTTACAGAAACTCGTCAAGTTTCGTGCATCTTGTTAAGGATGCATTTTTGCACCTTACCAATTTCCTCATTGGATCAAATGCCTCTGAGATATTGTGTGGCAGTACACCCATCTTTTCAAAGCGAACAATAGATTTTGAATGAAAGGCTACGAAGGTCTGCCCTACCGAGACCGTTGCCACTTCCTTATTGAGACCAAGTTCATCCCGTGTGATGCCTCCACTTCTTTCATCTTGATGCAAATCTGCAAAGCAGATGCAGTCACTGTCGATTTATTATCGACGTTTTCTGCACTGTAATGCAATACGTTTTGTCGATTTATAGCTTGATGTTAGTGTAGAGCTGTAAGATTGGAATCTTTTTGGTGTCGCCTGCCCTTCGCTAGCCGCATTACCCTGTTTTACTACCACGGACCGAGCTTTTCTAGCGAAATACCCTCTTCAAGTAAAGTCTTCAACCCACAATTCTATTTATTAAAGAAATTTGCCCTAATAAATTGAATGTAGGAGGAGCAGCTATATTTCCTAATCTTAATAAAAATCATCATAAAATTAAAGAAGGTATAACATTCAATAACCCTTTATTAATTAATAATCTCCGTCTATCTAATCGCTCATATCTAATATTAGCTAAACAAAATAAACACCAAGAACACAAACCATGCCCAATTATAAATCTATATCCTCCACAAATTCATTAATTTCTTGAATTTATAATTCCTGCTAAAACAATCCCCATATGAGCAACAGAAGAATAAGCAATCAATGATTTTAAATCAACTTGACGTAAACAATTTAATCTAACTAAAATACCTCCAATTAAGGAAATTCTAATAAAAAATAATTTCATTTTAAATAAAATACTGAAATAAAAGAAAATACCCGTAAAAGACCATATCCTCCTAATTTTAATATAATTTCAGCTAAAATTATTGAACCGGAAATTAGAGTTTCAACATGAGCTTTAGGTGACCATAAATTAACTAAAAATATAGGCATTTTAACTAAAAGAGCTAAAATTATAGATAGATACAATAATTCATAATTAAATATATAATTACTTAAAATATAAAAATTTGAATTTCCTAATTTTTCATATAAATAAAAAATACCAATTAATATTGGTAAAGATACAAATAATGTATAAAATAATAAATTAATTCCAGCTTGTAAACGTTGAGGTTAATACCCTCATCCTAAAATTATTAATAAAATTGGAATTAAACTTCATTTAAAAAATAAATAAAAAGCAAAAATATTCATACTAGAAAAAGTTAAAACCAAAAACTCTAATGTAATAATTACATTAATCATAAATAAATTATTATAATTATTAAGTTTATAAATTTTTTCTCTTGCTATAAATACCAATGCACAAATTCAAAAGATTCATAAAATTAATCGATAAGAAATTATATCACATCCTAAAAAATAAGAAATATTTATAAAATAATTTCTATAAATATTAAATAAAATTAATATAAATCTAAATAAAAATAATATATTTTGAACCATTCAAAATATATTATAAAAAAATCAAACAGGAATTAAAAATATAACAAATAAAATAAATTTTAACATTATAAAATTCTAAATGATTGAAAATAATCTTTTCCATGAGTTCGAATTATAGAAACTAAAATAGAAATACCAAACTCTAAACGTTAAGTATATTATTATAAAATAATTACTATAATCTATTATATTCATATAACTATATAAAACAAATAAAGTATTAAAACAATATACTCTAAGCTTAGTAATATAGATAATAAATGTTTTCGATTAGAAATAAAAGAAAAAACTCCAATTAATACTAGAACAGAACAAAATAATCAAAACAAATGATCTTTTTTTAAGTTTTAGTAGTTTAACAAAAACATTTGTCTTACAAATCAAAAATAAGTATAATCTTTTAAAACTCTCAAGAAAAAGGATATAATCCTTTATCATAAGTCCCAAAATTTTTATCTTAATTGAACTATTTCATGAAATTTTACATATATTAATTTTAACTTTAATATTAATTTCAAGTATTATATTTCTATTTTTAAATCATCCCTTATCAATAGGATTAATACTTTTAATTCAAACGATTTTAATTTCAATTATTTCAGGATTCATTTCAAAAGGATTTTGATTTGCTTATATTTTATTTTTAATTTTTTTAGGAGGAATATTAGTTTATTTATTTATGTAACAGCAATTGCTTCAAATGAGATATTCTCATTTTCTATTAAAAGATTAGTATCAACAATTTCATTAATCTCAATAATTTCAGTTTTGTGAATTTGTATATATAATTATATTAACATAGACATATTCATAAATAATGAATCTATATTTTTAACTAATTTAAAAAATTTAATTGAAGAAAATTCAATTTTTTTAATAAATTATTTATTAATTACCTTAATTGCAATTGTTAAAATTACTAATATATTTTTTGGACCAATTCGACTTATAAAATAATGAATAAACCTATACGAATCAAACATTCTCTTTTCAAAATTATAAATAATTCTTTAGTAGACTTACCAAATCTCATTACTTCCTCTTGGTGAAATTTTGGATCTTTACTAGGATTATTTTTAATTATTTCAATTTTAACTGGATTATTTTGAGCCATACACAACACAGCAGATATTAATATAGCTTTTAATAGAATTAGACACATTTGTCAAGTTGTGAATTATGGATGACTATTACGAACTCTCCATTCTAATGGAGGTTCATTTTTTTTTATTTGTATTTATCTTCATATTAGACGAGGAATCTGTTACAATTATTATAAATATACTCAACCCGATTAGTTGGAGTTATTATTTTATTTTTAGTAATAGCAACTGCTTTTATAGGATATGTTTTACCATGAGGACAGAAATCTTTTTGAGGACCTGCAGTAATTACTAATCTTTTATCCGCTATCCCATATTCAGGTATTGATTTAGTCCAATGAGTATGAGGAGGATTTGCAGTTTACAATTCAACATTAACCCGATTTTTTACTTTTCACTTCATTTAACCTTTTACTGTTTTAGCAATAACAATAATTCACCTTCTTTTTCTTCATCAAACAGGATCAAATAACCCAATAGGATTAAATTCAAATATTGATAAAATTCCACTCCATCCTTATTTTACTTTTAAAGATATCACTGGATTTATTATTTTAATTACATTCTTTATTTTATTAACTCTAATAAATCCATATATATTAGGAGATCCAGATATTTTTATTCCAGCTAACCTTTTAGTAACTCCCATTCATATTCAACAGATTGATATTTTTTATTCGCTTATGCAATTCTACGTTCTATTCCTAAAAAACTAGGATGAGTAATCGCTTTAGTATTATCAATTGCTATTTTAATAATACACCTTTTTATAATAAAAGAAAATTTCAAGGGCTACAATTTAATCTTATTAATCAAATTTTATTTTGAATTATATTATCTACAGTTATTTTATTAACCTGAATTGGAGCTCGACCAGTCGAAGAACCTTATGTGATGATTGGACAAATCTTGACAATTATTTATTCTTTATATTTTTTAATTAATCCCTTAATTAATAAATGATGTTTATATAATGGTTCTATTTGTGCTATTTGAACCACGTTACGATTACTACTTGAAATATTAACTGGGCGGTGAAATAGTGTCTTATGGCAATTATAATATTACCAAATATTGCTCATCCGACCAGCAGTAACTGATTTACAAACTGTTAGACTTGAAACTGATACTTTATTGCCTCCATATCATGTGATGCTGATATGACACATTAGCGCTTCATTTCAATAAATCAAAGATTGTTTAATGTATTTGATTGAGCACGGACTGTTAAATTTTGATTCAATTAAAATTATTTTATAGTGAGCATGTATATTCTGTTGTAGCTAAGACTCTTAAAAACTTAATCGTTTATTACAGCCAAAAACTGTCTATGCCACTTTGTGCAACTGAAGTTTGTGTATTTTTGTTTGTCTATTTATGACGGTTAATCATAACTGAGGTGTGATTAGCTTATGTGGCGGATAAACAGGTCAATCTATACACTATATAAATACACATACAATATAAGATAGAAAGTAAATATAATTTTTTGTTAGGATATAAAACATTTCACACTTAAAACACACTTTTCTAACAGTCTTAAAAATCTAAATGAAACTTATTGCAAACTTATATATAGGCCTAGTTGGATTACACAAATCCAAACTAATGGAACTTGTACTTCGGTGACTCTAGCAGATGAGAGGGCCGAAGTTTTATTTTATATAGTCACAAACTTTATTATTATTATAAATAGTCATAACTCTGGCAATGAAATAATGATAATAATACAATGGTGCCAGTTCGTTGAACACCAATAGGAATATGCATAATTTCCAGCCAGCCGGACCTGCCTTAACTTATCGACATATAAAACTGAAGAAAATTGTTTTGAAAGTAATAATTAAATAAATTTAATTAAATTTGACGGAATCGAAAGGACAAAGATAAAAATTTATTTAATTTATTCAAGTACTCTTCATCAGTGGTCTTAGGAAATAATCGAAATCTTATTTAATTAGACTGCTTAATTAATTGGACTGCCTGGCACTTGCAGTCCAAACAAATTATATACGGATTTTAAACTAATTAAATAAAAATTCGATTATTTCCTAAGACCACTGATGAAGAGTACTTGGCAATACTCAAAATAGCGTTGTATGGTTAGCCAAATTTCAATAAATTAAATAAGTTTTAACCTTTGTCCTTTCTTTCTTTACCATTCGAATCCGTCTTACTTTTAAATAGTTTCTTTCGTCATAAAGACAAGCCACTTTCGGCAAGAAAAAATTAACATTAATTAAATTTGATTTAATAAATTTTAATAAAATAACCATTAAATTAAACACAGTCCCACATCCGGTTAATACAATAACAGAGATAGTAAATACCGCTAAACACAATTTCCCATGTGCATTACGACTTGCATTAGGACTTACGAGTATAATACCCAAGAACGCTTCTACCGTACTTTGGCACCAACTAAGTGTGTGCAAATTTCAGTGCCAATCGAATAATCCAAACGTGGACATTACGAGTAATACATGCATAAAAACAATGAGTGTGCTGTGCGCCGCATGCGAAGATCCGGTAGCTAAGTGCTTGTAGATTTTATATGCTAACGAGCTACAAGCAGGAACAGCAAGGCTGCCCGTATGACAATTGATGGATGGCGTTACACCATATAAACACAGCAGAAGTTGACGATAATATTGGACATAGTTTGCATGCTGATATGCAGCGTGTTTGTGGCTGCTAGTGAGTCAGTGAGTGCGACTATCAGTGTTGGTGTTGGCATTGGTATTGGTATTGGTATTTGTGTTCGGATTAGTAAGGATTATGAAGGATACAATAGCTGTGGTGTTGTAATGGCGATAGCACAAACAGACTACGTAAATTCATGAGATATGAAGTGCAAGTAATACTTTACTCGCTGCTGATGTTGTTATTGTGTGTTAAGAGTTTTATTTGAATTGAAAATAGTGGAGTGCATTGAAAAATGTTAGCTGTGCGCAAAATTTTTCATTCACTACATGTATAACAATACAATGTTCTAACAACAAATCACAACAACAATATCATTAGCAACAGAAATGTCAACTAACACAACAAAAACAACAGGAAAAAACAATAAGAATGGCGCTAACACCGTTTCTGGATGTCGATGCGTATGCCAGCATCTGCGTCTGCAGAGACATTACCTTGTTTGCATTAATGATACATTCTTACATCCTTGTCTCCTCAACCAACAATGATATGCATGTGAGCTTTGTGCTATGCAATTATTCAGTATTTTAATGGATGTAAAATGCAACTTTGTTTTATTGTTTATGTTACTTAAAGGATTAGTGTCACAGGATATGCATAAATTAAAAGTTACGAAAACTACTCGCACGTTCTCATTTTGTTCTTGCGATGCTTAATTCCATTTATATTCGCCGTGCTTAGATAATAACTTCGAATAAGCATAAGCGGATAAATTTGATATGGTTTGGAACCACTGCAATAACTTCACAAATTTTTATTTTGCTATGAGTTTCAATCTGACGTCCTTTTCACATATATTGTTTAAAACAATCAACAAATAATTATCGAAGCTTAAGGTTTCTAATTGTGTTGCATGACTTTACTCTATTATCCGAAGTATTTAACTCAGAGTTACTCAAAAGCAGTAGTTAAAGTAGACGTCTATCATCAAAAATGTGTATTACCAGCATTTCGCCAAATTAAACGACAACGATAATATTTTATTCACTACTAAGGATAGATAGAATCAAGATGTTTTTCCAGAATCACATGCATATTGGATCCACCTATTTCACTTTACGATTATGTCTAAATTATACATTTATTTATATATAAATTTATAGTTCGAAACCTAATCCACGCCATTAATAACGCGTGGGTTCGAATGGCTCGTTGTTGTACCATAGAATTAGCGTTAGTACATACACAAACTAGAGGTCAGATTAGGAACGACCAACGCGGAAAGGCACGACTCTCTCATGTAGTAAAGTTGTACCAACTAGACAATTCTATAAAATTGACTAAGTTCCGAGCAGGATGACAGCTCGGTTAGATCGATAAGATGATTTCCTACCTTAAGGTGGACGCTGGCACATGAGGTGGGGCACACTTGTCCTCTCATCTGTAAAGCCACAACCTTATCTGTAAAGCCACAACCTAGACAAAAGTCATTATAAGCTGGGGTAGACACAGTTTCATAGCATGTTTTTCTATTAGCTGTGACCTGTCAACAACGATACTGTAAAGCTAAGCAGGTTTCGCCTTAATTGTTGAATCAGCTGACTAGTGCATTTTTTGTCCAGTTTAGGCAAGCTCCATCAAGAGATGTGGCAGTCGAATTCGTCTGTCCAAGTTTACTTAGCTATGTTTAGATATTTTTGTTTGATTGTCAGTTTAACTTACCAGTTGGGGACATCATTAATTGAGAAGTGAGTGCCTCTTTTGGCAAGCTCGTCGGTTTTAAATGCTTAAGATATCACAGTGTTCAGGAACCCAAATGAGTTTGATGCTGACAAGTCCACCTTAAAAAGGGAAGCCCGGTATTTTCGAGTTGTTAGAAATGTGGCTGTAGTATCTGTCAAGGATTTAATGGCAGCTTGGCTATCCCAAAAAAACTCGATTTCTGCATTACGCATTACCTAAAAATGCTTAGGCAATCGAAGTAAAAAGTTAAGATTCAGTTTTTTAGAAAATATACCACAGCCGACTCGTTCACCTATTTTAAAGCCGTATTACCATGTTAAAGGATACCATTTTGTGTAAAGTTAAGTCTTCCTTACTAGGTATAATAAAGTCGAACCACCTCTTTTTTATTTTATTTTTTTCTATTCTTGGAGGTTGAGAATCTTCATAAATACTATATTCTGACTAGCACCTTCGTGTCAAGTTAAAATCTGTGTTAGATGGCAGTTTGTCTCATCATAATTTCATTTCAACCATACGTCGATTACAGGTATAAGTGAGAAGGTCCATCTACCTTTAATGGAGTTTTCCATCTATTCTGCCATGCAGCTACTGAGATCCTTCTCTTATTCCTTCTACCTGGGATGGAGTTATGTTGCTCACGTATTT